GAATACTGGGTCCCAGCTCCTTCCCTTCTTTCATTTCCAAGATACCATAAGGTGAACATGATGCACTCCTTTAGAACTGGCCCAAACTGGGCCAAACATGGCTGAAACCTCTGAAAATATGCATACACACACACACACACACACACACACACACACACACACATACACATTTATTCCCATTCAACCTCATGACTTTAAAATCTTTACCTTCTCTGTCACAGCTACTTCAAATTTATATTTCCTGAACTTGGTAGCACAAAGTTGCTTCAGGACACTGGTTTCTTGACATCTACACTGGAGTGTCTAAATAGCATCTCAAATTTAACATGTCCAAAACTAAACTTACCACCTTTCCACTGAACTAGTTCATAAATCATTTCATATTCCTTTTCCATCCTAATTGATGGTAAATGTATTCTTCCACTTATTTAAAAAAAAAAACTAGAATTCTTTCAGAGCCTGCATCAAGTTGATCAAGAAATATGATATCCAAAATATGTGGAGAATCTACCACTTTCATCATCACTAGTGTGGTTTGGGCCTGGACCATGATCAGATCTTGCTGGAATATAACCTTCTTCTCCTGTTTTCCCCATTTCTCCATGTTCTCCCATGACCTACTATCAATACACTGGCCAGTCTCTTTTTAAATCAGAACATTCTGAATCTTGTTCTCTTTCTCTCCCCATCCCTTTTCCAGATATGACAGACTCCTAATTGTTCTTTAAATGTGCAAGACAGAATGACACACTCATAGCCTTCCACTAGTTCTCAGTTTTGCTCTGTCCCCAGATATCTACCTCATTTCCTTCATTTCTTTCTCCAAAAAGGACTACCCTGACCACATTACTTAAAATTACATTCAGCCTCCACATAGGCATTCTCTTTCCTCCATACTCTGTTATTCTTCACCCTATAACACCTTTTCAATTTAGTTGTTTATTGTGTTTATTGGTTATAATCTGTCTTTACACACTAAAGGAAGACAGGGATTTTTTTTTTCCTCTTTTGTTCAGTGATTTATCTCTTAGGCCTAGAGTAATAATTAGTACAGAGTAAGCACTCAATAAATATTTGTTAAATGAATAAATAAATTAGTTAGAAATGTATGAGCCAGAAAGAAGAGCATTCTGGAATATAACCCCCTTTAAAAAACCAGAACACCTTGACAGTGATAGTAGTCATTTTTACACATATTTAATTAGGGAAAAATCAGTCCCTGTGTTAAACAAACAACCAAATAACTCCTAAATTTGTGGGAAATATCCTGAGCAAGTTCAGTGTCACCTCAAATAAGGATGGTTAAGAGGTTAAAATACTCCTGAAAATCAAGAACAAAATGCTTAAGAAGTGCTGAATTACGCCACAGCCATCTATAAACATTCCAACTTTCTGAATAATAAAAATTGGGGTAAATGAAAGAGTGGGTTAAAGTCTCAAGACTATGGAAATGAAAAGTCTGTATTCATTTCAGAAGATATATGCAAATAATAGTCAAAGTGCTGCAGGAATACAAGGCTGCACAACTCTGAAGTATCCAGGAGCCAATCAATTTGTTTGTGATTCTCTGGGTTCCCTGTACCTCTTTCTCATGTTTACTGCCAAGTATTTGACCACCTTGCTTTTTGTCAGCAACTCTCACAAGACAGCAACCTGGAGAAACAAAGGGAAACTTAGACAGCTAAAGCTACTCCTTGGCCCAAAAGGACTATTTGGAGATTTTAGTCCAGAGAGTAATAAAAATGTCTGTATATTAAAAGCATTCACTAAAATGGGTACCATGCATGCTTTTGGAAAACAGTTGCTCAGCATGGCTTGGCCCAATTCAATTAAGGTGAACTTTGAGTCTGTCTAAAATACTGTCAACTGACAGAATAAAAAGAACTCTTGATGTATTTGAATGTGCAAAGGAAGAAAGGAAGAAAGAAGAGTGGAGAGATCCATGCTTCTGCAACAGGATTATCTACAGGAGTAAATTTAACATAATGGAACCTTTTCTAACATGGGCAAGATTAAGGTATAAGAATATACTTCTACTTTTAATAGCAGTAGAAACTGGGTGGAAAAAACCACTTCTCAGAACCTATTTACTTATTGGTAAAATGCATACTAATATACTTTTCTCACAAAGTTGTTGTAATGCTTAAATGGACAAATTATGCAAAATACCTAGTATATAAAGGCAAATATCTTCCCCATCTAAATTTGAGTTTCTATAATACTATCCGCCTGTTTGTGCAAGTGTTGATAGTCATCTTATTCTAAAAATTCATTCTACTTTTCAATTTTGCAAGGATAAAACCCTGAAGAAATATCGAGAGGGTAATTAACATATGGCTAAAACTATCATGGGAAATATAAAAAGACAGATTAAAATGTGCAACTGGGACCTGTTTTAGAATGAGAAGCAATCTATGGATAAAACTGTTTCTTTTCTTCAAATGCACAGGAAAATATTATAAAAACTCTATTTAAAAATTATAATATGGCATCTTGAATGAAGAAGAATATTTTCTTCCTTTTGTATAAATCAGAGTGCAGAAAATGCATGGCTCTTTGTAAAAATTACTTGAATGTAAGTTCCAGGGGAAGAGGATTCTTTTTGTTTGTCTCATTCATTGCTGACTCTCCTGAATACTACAAGGGTTATAATTGGCAATTAGGAAGTAGTTCTGAATGAATTCAGATGCACACACTATAGTGTACTTGGCACAGGAATAGGGGTCCATCTGCCTCTTGCAAATGACTGTACATACTTTACAAAAAGAAAGGTAAATAATAACAAGCCAGAATTATTGGCATCAAGAAAAAGGGCAGCACAACTACTCTCACAGTTCTTGAACCACCATTTATAAACATCTGGAATTCTGCTGAGGAACTAATAATCCATATATGGTATATATTAGCATATGCATAAATGGATATGAAATGACTAATAATTTCTTGAAACAGGAAAATAATGATTTCTGGAAGTGACCAAAATAGATACTTCATTGTAGAGAAGAAAGAATAAAGATTTGGGCAGAAAAACTTTCTGCTACTCTAAAGCCAACTCTGAAGTTGGTTATTATGTATTTTAAAAATGCTGTTTGTATGGAAAAAACATATTTAAATTCTTTGTTTTTCCTATTTGGATAATATACAAAGAGCAAATAAGTGACCAGAACCTATTTAAAGTAAAAGAATATATTAAATTCTAAGCAAAATAATTAAAAAATGTTCAAGTAATAATATATAAAAACACAATAGTTTTGGACTGTAAACCATAAAGAGTCAAGCAGGCATCTATAGATATTATCCTCAGTCCAATTATAAATTGGTTCAAAGTCTGCCAAGATAAATAATATAGCCTACACACCTCTTTGCCAACTGTCTTATAAAGCAGATGGAACCAAAAATCCAAAGAACAGTGAAAAATTAAGTTTTAAGAAATCCTTTTCTCTCTGAAGTTGTATGAGAGGAAAGGTCACTTTCTAACTTACTAGCTTAACTTTTGATGCCCTTATCTTTTTCTTGATCATACATATTTTTGTGTATTATGCTCTATTTATGCATTCTTCAATTGCATCTTTATTTATGACTTTGTGAATCAACATCTTTGTGATAGGAGGTGAAAGTCACTTAGCTAATTACACATACCTGATAAGCTGCATAATAATAACTACTGCAGTACTGTACATTAGTTGGAGGCATGTAAATTACTGCAGTTATTTTCATTGGGGGAAAAACAAAAGACTTGTTTTTAGTTGTTTAAAACACCCCTGTTGCCTTCATTTCCACCTTCATAAGTGTACTGTGCTTTTAATCATAATCAAAATTATGGCATCATTTTTAAAAAATGGAAGTTAAATTCCATTCTACCAGTAGTACCAAAGAAACAAGAACAAGAACAAGACAAATGTCGATTTAAGGCAAATACTTCTGATCCCAGTTGAGAATTTTGTCATTTGAAGTGTCTTTCACATAATGCAATCCCAGGAAAACAGAACAGTTTAGACCCTCCCTGCCCCACAAGAATACAGTAATGAAATCTGACTTGGTCCAGCCCGGAGTTTGGAAGTGCATACAGGGAGAGAGAGAATGTGCAGCACTAGAATATTAATATGACTTCTGTATGAAGATTGGAAATTCTACAAAGTTATGAATAAGGTCAAAATAGCACTTAGGTGATTTACTGTCATAGAAAATCTTCCTCTCCCTATGAGTGATTTAGAGAATGTTATATAAAAACAGAGTGTGGACCAGCTACATTCAGATGCAAGCTTGCAGCTGTCAGAGTCTACATTTGCTCAATATGGCTAGAGGATGATTTGAAGGTTGATTTGATTGTAGCTTCTGAATCATGTTCTTCTCTATGTTTTAAATTGTTTAACATAAATATAAAAATGTTAAAGTAATTTGAAGACAGTCAATATTAAATATAAAAATCCCGTTCTCTTTTGGAATTTTAACTGCAAATGAAAAGGCTCTTGGAAAAAAATATTACTTAATAATGCCAATTGCCCACAATTATGGCAAATTTACCCCGATGAGGAGAAAGTTCATAGGATGTTAGAAAGGAGCTAAGAATAAACAATAAATAAATAAAACTCGGTACTGAACTGATGCATTTGAGGAGGAACACAGATCTGAATCTCTTTAGAAAGAATTCAGAGGTCAAAACTGATCAGGTAGTGGGGAGCACTGTGTGTGTTCCTTGCAGGCAACACAATACCCTGAGTATCTCCTTCCCCATAAGCAAACTCAAAGCAGAGATTGAATTCTTGCCGATGCTACCAGCACTACAACATAAGGCATCATCAATGAGCTATGCCAATGTTATTTACTCGGCTGGAGCTATCCTCAACCATCTTCCTATTCCCTGCCGCACTTCATCAAATTCCAAATATCACCTAATCATTCACTTCCCAGCATCAGCAGATCATCCTTACAGAAGAGAGTGTCTCATTCTTCTTTGGTAAGCTTTTTACCCATTTTTTAATTTTCACTTTTATACATACCTCCTTTTCTACATATTTTCTTGCCGGGTTTTCTGGCACATTCCTTGGATATTCTTTTTACTGAAAAATGAATAGAAGACTAGAAAATAACATGGCGCTCCATCACAGACCGCCGGAACATGCAACACCACTATCTATCTTAATACGCTCCTGCATTTACTGAGTGCGAAAGTTCCCCAATTTGTTGAGCCTGCACATGCAATGAGGAAATGTTGATGCATCTTCTCAGAAGTCATTTGGTAGGAAATGGAAATTAGGAGCCCATTTCTACCTAAATATACGTGCTGTGGAGGTAAGAAAATGAGTAGGCACAGGAAAAAAAAATAACAGATATACTGACACACATAGACAGAAAGAGCGGCATGCAAGCATGTAAAATATGTCTACATGCCGACAGGAAAAGCCATGCATACTACCAGTACACATCAAGTAATATTGTTAGAATAGAAAAATATATATATCTCTATGTATATAAATCTCCCTGTTTTTCCTGCAAAAACTCACCATCCTCAGTTGGGACATATATGTTTAAATAAAGGCAGTCTTCACTCTGGTCTTGTACATATGAAGAAACCACATCCAAGTTATTGGTAAACCACACAGGAAGCATGACTTCTGGCAACCTGCCATCAATGATATTCTGGGGACACACAGGAGCAAACTGAGTGGCATTCCTGACATCTGACCAGGGAGATGGTGGTTCTGGAGGCTGAAAACGATGTTCTCCTGTTGGTGGAGCTGCATACGGAACTCCAAGAAACTGAATAACAGGCCCCAAAATTTCATTATTGAGTTCTTTCTTAATCCCTCTTATCTTGCCAAAGTTGGTTGTCACCAGTGGGTCCACATCATCCAATTTTTGTGAGAGCACATGGGCAGCCTGAATTAAACATCCCAACATACAGAGAGTCAACGAGGCGCCCAATCCCCTGTGTACCAAGCATGCCATCACTGCTTTCCAAACGTAATCTGGCCACATGCATCTGGGCTGTGCCATGATCCCACATTAGTTGTCTAGCTGTCTGGTTACAGTGAGGCAAATGTATTTATATCCACTCGAGACGGACTGTATAATGGTAGAATATGCCTCCAATTCCTCAAAAGTGAGCTGGTCGGGAAAAGTTCAGAACACTCTTCATGCAGCAAGTATCTCCCATTGATTTCACATGTATTGAGGCAGCATCTTCAATCATCTCTATTTATCAGACCATATCCTATTGACCATTCTGTTTTCCATAGTAGCAATTTGGTGAGGGTGGCCATTGACTGTAGATTTCCCTCTTATAAATCAAATCCAGTTAGCTGCAGGTCTATATCCAAGAGAAAATGAGAATAAATCATTAGTATGAACAAGCTGAAATAGACAGAGTGATAACTAGATGTTGTATAAGCTATAGAAATACATTAATAGTGGCTAGAGTCAGGTAAGTTAAATACTACCATGGGAAAATTATGGTTTGATGTGAGATGACAAGTGAAATAACTGATTATTAGATTATTGAGAGCTTGCCTGCTGACTTTATACACACCGAAATGGAAGTAGGTCTTGTCAAAATATATGGTTTTAGAAGCATTTCACAGTGAAGTATTTTTAAAATACTGAAGGTTAGGTGTGAAATTTCCCCTTTATTGATAATACAATCACTTCAAGTGACTACAAAATTAATCAACAAACATGTTTAAAATTAGAATCCAATAGCAAAAAAAAAAATTTAAAAAAGTTGGTAGCATATAAATGGAACATAAACTCCCTAAGAATGATTGTACATATTGAAATACAAGCAAAACAAACTAAAGGTGCTTCCCAATCACCATGCTTAGACAAAAAAAAAAAAAAAAAAAAGGTGATGTCCAAACAGGAAAACAAACGTGAGTTCAGCTATGATTTTAAGTACAGCTACCTCCTAAGGTCAAGTTCATTGCTCTCTTTCAGAAGTCTGCATAAAATATTGATCATTGAGCCTCTACCATTTATATAGACTCAAGAATTCAGAAGAGAATATGTCACTGGACACAATTCAAAGAAGGGAGAAAAAGTTAGCATCATTTTTTTTTTGGCAGACCAAAGTTTCACCAGCTATCTATATATATTAGGTAACAATAAATTTACAATGTGTAAATGAATTTCTGAGTCAAAGTCAATATGTTTTAAATTACAAATTTTGTTCTTACCATTTGCTAGAGATCAAAGGAAGAATATTTTAAAAAGTGTTGTAATTCAAAAGAACAATCATGCTTAATCATGGTATCTTGCATATTAACACTAATCAAACACCTAACACTGTTTACCCAGTTCAACTTAGAATGCATCGGAATAAGCTATGACATTCCGTGAATGCAATTCACAGGATAGCATGCAGCTCAGAAAATTTGTCTTTTCTTGTTCAAGGAACCCCTTAGAGTGCTTACTTTGAAAATAATAGTGTTGATTCGTATTAGAGGTGGTTCCATCCTGTCATATTATGGGAAGATTCCTGAAGAACTGCTGGTTTAGCAGTGAGACTACCCTGACTTTGTGTTATTTAAAAGAAGATTGTAATAACTATATAGGGCATCAGGAGATTTGGTTCTGTCCTGGTGTTCCTTTAGCTTTGAACAATCCATCACAGAAGGCATAAGAAGATAAATGTCTTTTTTCGAGAATACTTCAGTCTGTGTCAATTCTCATACTTTGGCTGTGAAAGCACATTACCATACAAAGACAGGCTTAGACCCATCCTTCTTATGTCCCAGAACAATGGCATTCATGGAAGAGTTAGCTACATAAACCTATTTCCATAAGGAGTATACTATGTTTACTCTTGTTCAGGGTTTTTTTATGGGGGTGGGCACAGCACAACTGAGTCTTTCTTATTTACCTTTTGGTGTTTAAGAATAACCATATTAACAAATAAGATAGAGAACCTGCAGTGAAGCCTTGAAAGTCTCCATCAACCATCATTTATTTAGCCTGATTTCCAAGTACAGCGATTTCCAAAAGTTCTTGACATAATTAGCATCTCATTACTTTGTCAATAACTATGATAAATACTCATAGTTATTGACAAAGTAACACACCATTTCCAAATACTCACAAATCCTGAACTGTGTTAAAAAAAAAAAAAAAGAAGCTCTTGTTTCTCACTAGTATAAGATCTTAACACAAATTAAGGAGGATTGGCATGGCATGGTGAGTTTTCAAATTGTTGACTCTGGCTTCAGAGGTTACCAAAATATCCTATTTTACATGCATATATAGAGAGAGAACTATAGTTTTTGCCCCAAAAGTTTTTCTAGAAATCATTATTTGATTCTAAAGTATTTAAAATTGAATTACAAAAATGTTTATTTATGTATATTCAAAATATAGAGGTTAGTAAATATTCTGATAATATTATAGAAACAGGAAATGTTAAATTATCTACCCTATTCTTCCAAGTCTAATGCAGAAATATGGCCTGCTCTGCCTGGCATAGTAGTGCATGCCTGTAATACCCAAGGACTCAGGAGGCTGAGGCAGTAGGATCACAAGTTCAAGACTAACCTGAGCAACTTATTGATTTACCTCAAAATAAAAAATAAAATGGGCTGGAATGTAGCTCAATAATACACATACCTGGGTTCAATTACCAGTACCAGGAAGAAAAAGAAAAGGCCTCTTTAAATTACTGAAATATTAAAACATTACATGCCTACATATAAAGACTGTCCAGTTTGCTGACAGTTTCTATTTTTTTTCCTATTTATTGGTGTTTCCTAAGTATATTCCACATTCTTAGCTTTCATGCATTCACATTTAGTTTATAACAATCCTATGAAATGGGTTCAGCTGTCATCTCCTTTTTACTCATGAAGAAATGAAACTCAAATGTTAAATGCCAAGGTCTCTCAACCAGGCAAGAACAGATCCAGGAGCCAATTACCATCTGATTTAATAGCCATTTCCTTGATCATTTTATGATTTGGTCTCTCAATTTACAATTATCACTTTAAAAAATTTGATTCTAGATACTAACCTATCTAAAAAGCTTACAAATAATGTTTATTTATGTACATTCGGAATATAGAGTTTAGTGAATACTCAAGTAATATTATAGAAACATGGAATTTTAAATGTTCTACCTTATTCTTAATGGGAGTATCAATTTGATTGTGCTATTATTTACCTTGTTTTACTCTAGATCTAATACAATCATATATGTGATTATACAAGATCATGTTAAAAATAATCTATATAATGATTTGGTTGCTTTTAGTATTTTAAAAAACCCTCAAGACCCAAATTCATGACAACCTAAATATCATTAATATATACTTTTAAATGAAATATGAAATATTTTAGAATTGGAATTCTATTATCACTGAAAATAAAGGATTGAGACCTAAAATATCAGCATAGATAAATTTCAAAATTCTAGAACAAAATGAATGTAAGATTAGACTTAGTAAAATATTATTTAAATAAAGCTTAAGGTGTACAAAATAATACTATTTATTATTCACAGATACATAAATACATAATAATAAGAGAGTTACCATCCCCAGGTAAGTGAGGAAAAGAATGACATTAATTCTTACAATTAATTAGTTAATTGACATATAAGATGAATAGCCTGTGGTGAGGCTTTGAAAGGCCTACAATGAGCTACAGAAATTTTACAAAATCTTAATTTTTGATAGTGTTGGTGATATATACAACACACACACTCACTCACTTGTATTGTAATTATTTTTTTCTATATTTTAAATATTTTTAAATACATAAAAACAATGGGATCAGAAAACTGTGGCTCACCCAGCCAGGCAATTCTCATAATACCAGTGGATTGGCCTATCAAGCCACATAGGACCAGCCTCCTCTGACTTCACAGTGAGCAGAAATACTAGCTCATATGTTCTTCATTATTTCTGCCCTTGAGGTAAAGAATGCATGGTCCTATTAAGATGATAAAATAAATGATAAATAATATTTGAAAGATCATCATAAATTGCAATATACTGACTGACTTGCATTAGCTCGTTAAAATAGGTAATCCCTCAATTAGTTTGTTTCTTGGTGACCCGGATAAAAAGTAGAGAGAACCATCTAGAACATTAGATAATTGCAATGAGTAACCACATTCATCCAATCTTTCATTCACTCAATGAAGTATTTATTAGGAGTTTACAATATGCAAGTTTTTGTGCTAAATGTATGGAGAATTTAAAGACAAATATAATCTCTTCATTGCTCCCAGGTAGCTTGTAATATTATAAAGGAATAAGTCCCATGAAATAATGGCCCTAATGCAAGATGGAAAGTGACATGTGTTGAATAAATACATGATGAAGGGGGGAAAGCAAGACCCAGCAGGAAGTCTTTAACTTATAACTTTCTGTAGACTCATATGTCTTTTAAAAAAATATTATCTACTTATTCTCTGCTTTATTTTCAATATTTTTTATCTGTTTGATTTTTGAATCCAGCATTTCCTTACTGAATTTTCAAGGATTTTGCATATGTCTGTGTTTTTATATATTTATATTTATTGTAAAATCTATGGAAAAATGTTATACATAGCATAAGCATGGTTAAATCTCAGTTGGTTCGGATTGAACAAGGTTCATCACCAGAGACACCTGAACTTGATGGTGACTCTCAACCAGTTCTTTGCAATATATAGTTGATCCTTTTTACTCCTAGTGGACATGTTTTAAAAAGTCATCATGAACAATGAATTAGGGAATTATTGCTCCTTGGGGACAGCTATATGTATGTGTGTGTGTATGTGTTTAAATTAACATATGTATGTACATATCTCACCGAGATTTTAAATTATAACCTTAAATGTTTAAAGCAACTCATCCCAATAGACTTCATCTTCTTTATTTTACAAAAGAAAAACCAAGGTTCAGAAGTGCTAAGTACCTGAGGTCACCCCACTATCAGGTGTGAGCGTTGGCATTGAAATCCCCTCCAACTGGCCCCAGAACATAGTTCCTTGCCCTGCACTGTGTTGCCCCTCTACCATTGCCTTCCTCCATTTATGGACCTGAAAGAAGCATGCATAGCATGCCTTGTTTGACCTCACTGGAAATGGACTCATAGGGCAACTCAAAGATTTTGCTGCTTTGTCATTTCTATGGAATGACAGAGAAAATGGTGTGAGTTTTGATTTTTAGTTTTCCAAATAAATTGCATTGCATAGGCAAATGTGCAAATACAGAAATCAGAAATAATGAGGATCAACTGTAATAACTAAAGAAAAATAATGTTTTATACCTATGGGTCTATGAGTTCTTTTGAGGTCAGATGACACTTACCCTTGACAATAGGGCTATGTAGCAACAGTTGGAT